ATTGGCCTGAATCCTAATGTTAGTCTCAACTAGAGTAGATCCATTGACTCAATAGAATTCATCTACATGGTGTATCTCCAATCAAAAACTGATTGAGTCTACTCTAGTTAAGAGTAATCAATAGAATTCAAGTCATTATGTATTTAGATCAACACCTATTGTGTTCTACAAACGCTCCTCAAAATGTAACATGTGAATATTAAAAAAGACCTTTTCAAATGCAGAGTAGATACACACACAGGGAGGAGTGTGTTCCCCATGGAGTGCACATATAGTTGCAAATGTGTGATTTCTCTTCACGTGAAGAGAGCAGCTAACCAAACAAAAGTTGGTAACCCTTATTGACTACGGAGTTTTTCACACAGGGCAAATCAATAGTTTATCCCACAAAAATCCCGGGGGAAAAAAAGCGTAATTGCACCCAACGATTTCACACGACGTCGCACAAAAGCCACTAATAAAATGGTGTTATCCGAGATCTTTTTACTTTCGGGATTTCAGAGAAAATGCATTTGCGATATTACAGTACTTTTGCATTTACAGTAATTGCGCTTTAGTATGAAACTCAAATTCGCAATAATCCTCCTTTCACTCATTTTTTTTGTTTGTTTTCCCATGGTTCGGTGGGGCCGCTTTTCCTTCCTGTTTTGCTCGGGCGTCAGAGATGCCAGGAGGCAGAGATGAGCCCCTCTGCTTTCTCTTTCTCCCCTTCCAGTCCCACAAGTCTCTCTCTCCTCCTGAGCCTCTCCTTCTACCTTCCTTACCTCCCTCTGTTTTCTTCTGGCTCGTTCACCTCTCTCTCCCCTTCGACATGCTGCCACTCTCTCTGTCCTCCAAACCTTGCTCTTTCAGCCTCCTTTATCTGCGTTGCCTGCCACCCATCCTGTCCTCCTCTAGTCCTCCAAACCCCTCACTTTTCGGCCTCTGTCCTCCACTCACTCTGCTCCTCTCAGCCTCTCACTTTCGGCTTCCTTTCTCCGTTATACCCGCCACTCGCTCTGTCCTCCTCTGGTCCTCCAAGCCTCTCGCTAGTTTTAATGGTGCTATGGGGTATCTGGTATAGAAGTATATAGTTGTGTAGGGATGGTATGTATGGGAAAGGGAAAACTATTGTCCATACTTTTATTTCACTGGGACTTGATACCTGCCAGCATCATTCATGGGGACATCATGCTCCACTGTTATTATGTGCTGATATTCTGGCAACATTGTGGTGTACAATATATATATTTACAAACACATTTGTATGTACAGTTAATAAACTATAGTAGTATGTAAAGACACACATGCACGCACACACGCACGCACACACGCACATATATATATATATATATATATATATATATATATATATATACACAGTTATATATAAAGTTATATGTGCTTATATAGAAACATACATATCAATATACATATATATCATACACAATAAATATATATATAACAAACCTACATATCAATACTTTTAAATGCGTGTGCATGTGTGCGTGCATGCATGCATGCCCACATATATAAAATATATATATATAGTTATATATAAAGTTATATGTGTTTATACAGAAACTTACATATCAATACACATATATATCATACACAATATATATATGTATAAAACAAACCTACATATCAATACTTTTAAATGTGTGTGCATGCGTGCTTGCGTGAGTGCTTGCGCACGCGCACACGCACACACGCACGTGCACACACACATATTATATATAGAGTGAGAGAGAGAGAGTTATATATAATTATATATATATATTTATGTGTGTATATATATATATATATATACATATAGTTATATATAAAGTTATATCTGCTTATACAGAAACATACATATCAATACTAATAACTCTGTGTGTGTGTCTACGTATATATATAGTGTATGATATATATGTATATTGATATGTATGTTTCTGTATAAGCACATATAACTTTATATTTAACTATATATATATATATGTGTGTGTGTGTGTGTGTGTATTTTCATGCATGTGTAGTTATAAATATGAACATAAATATGAACTGGGCAAATGGAATGACTGTAATGGTGATCTAACAAGGCAAACAGAAGGAAGAGGCAGTGTCGCACAGGAAATGACACAAACAACACTCCTCTGTCGCACAAATTAAACTTACATGTGCGCATGTGAAAGTATAGCTTTCTTAGTACATTTGCGGATTTCTTTCACTTCTGTGTAAAATGCAAAAACG